TAAATAATTCACCAAAGAACATAAACTAACATGCAAAAAGTAGGCAATTACCTCTAACTCTCACAATTGTTTTGGCTTTCTAACTATGCAACGAGAGCCGTTACAAATTTATCTAAGCTAGTCGTTATCTTTCCCGTGGAAATGAAGCTTGTACTAACAGTGAAATTGACAATTCTGTGTTCAGAAAACAATATAATATAATGTGTCATCTGATAGATGAAAACATTGGCTTTCTATTGGTTATAGATAATACAGAATTAAACCTGAGAGATAACTAATAACAAATCCTGAATGTGGGGATGTGACTAGGGGGTGTGGCAAGAGGGGTCTGATTTTCTGATATAAAGCTCTGTAACCAAACAAAATTGGAGGCTATAGAAATTGTGGTTTGTCTGAGCAATGATTTTATAGAGTAACTTGCATTTAATTTTCTACTTATTGGAGTGGTGGTGGATGAAATAGAGAAGAGGAGATGCCTAGAGAAAATGTCAAACTAGGAAAAATTCAGGATATTTTAAATATTGCCTTATAAAATAAAGAACTTAAAACTTGTATACTATTAAAATATGGATTATTAGTGAAGATTTTATGCTATACTAATTGGTATAGCATAAACAAAAAGTAGATTAATACAATTTTGAATGTAAGTTACTAAAACCTCCTGACATGTGCAGTAAAGGATGCCCGTTGCAATAGGGTTAATGTTTCTATGACAGTACTATTACTTTTTTGTTCTTCAAGATATTTAACTGAGGCCCTTCTCAGAGAACAGTGTTAGTATTTCCACTTTCCATAGAAATCCAAGGTTCACCAGTTCCACGAAGAAGCATCTACAGAAAAGTCCATTGTCACTACAAACAGCCTGGAAAACTACATTTCTTTAGTAGAATCATTTTTAAGATATAAACAAGTTAAATGGTCTTGCTTGTATCAACACAGATGTCAAAGAGCAAGTTTATCTTTCCAATTTGGACCAAAGGGGTATTGTATTCCATGGAAAAATATAACAGCAAAAAATGTCCATCATTTACTTGAAAATGTTATTTCACTCGACAAAAAAATACATTATTGGCATGTAGAAAACAACATAAAGCAAATATGATATCAGTATTATAGATGGTATGTTAAACAGCCAGATATACAAGAAGAGCATTAGAAACAATATTCAGAAGAGTTTCTTTAGTTACAAATGAAGATAATATTAAAGTGGAAACTCAAAGCCAATCGTAAATGGTGCTTGGAAAGAACCATGACTTCAATGCCTGACTGTATCAAACTTTGGTTGCATTGTCAAAATGAGACCACCAACATCATGCAGAATGGTTGTAGAGAGGTTGTTGTATTCTACAAAACCTCAAAACAATGTGAGATTGTATGGGAAAGACAAGCCTTAATATAGTACGACAAGAAAATGGTGTGAAAGTCTAAGTTGACTTACGGTTTGGATTTTTACCTGTATAGCTTGATGGATGAACTAGGTGAAATCAAATATCCAAAATTTACACACGCGCCATTACAATCTGCAAAAATCTTTAAACCATTTTGTTCTCTACTCAGTCCTGTTATCATCAAATTTAAAGATGGTCTGTTGTGGATAATGTGCTATACACATTAAAAAGATTAATTCCCCATTGTATATGTTCATACATTCTGTCCTTGGAAAGTTTACACAGATTATTATATCACCACATAAATTTTGTTTTTTAGTTTCATTAACGTTCTACTTATCCTACCAATTTGAGATCTAAACCCTTTCAACTGATGTATTTGACCACGCCCAAGGTCTCATAGATTTATTTACTCTAATCCTGCCTAAAAGAATTTTAAGTGCTGTGGCTATTGAAGATTCCCTCTCTTCTTCTTTTTTTTTTTTAGGAATCTGATGCTGTGGCAGAGTCCATTCCCTATAGCACCCCTAAACCAATAGGAAATGTATACTTAGCCGAGCATTTTGATGATCCTGGAGCTTTTGAAAAAAGGTGAGAGTAAATGGCTTAACCTCTGCAGAATCTGTTTGGTTGGGGGTGTGAAAGTGTATATTGATGAACTAGAAAAACCTGTGTTTTAATTCACCTTAGGAAATTTGTTTGTCAGGTACTAATTTATCTTCATCACAAGCTTATAAGTACTGACTTTAAAAGCTTGACTTTTAATCAGTCATAAAGAATGTACATTAATGTGTTGTTATCTTAGAACTTGTACAAGTGACCTTAAGTTTTTAACTAAAAACTACTTAAATTCTGTAATGAGTTCCTGCTTATGTTTCTAAAGTTTTAAATTTTGATCTATAATTTTTTTTTCTAACGTGACTGAAGGTTTCACTTAATACATTAACACACTCTCGGGTCTGTTTCTGCAGGTGGATAATCTCACAAGCCAAAAAAGACGATGCTGAAGAAGCTATTGCTAAGTACAGTGGTAAGTGAATATACTTGTGTTGTAAGGAATTGTTCAAGAGATCTTTATATTGTCTGTTAAAAGTAAAACAAGATATCTCAACACCTTCCTTTCAAAAATGACTTAATATAAATTCATTTAACTTTTTTTGTATTCCTTAAACATTACCGTGAAAAATAAGGTGGATAGGTATTTAAGAAATGTGATTTTCTATTGAAAATTGTGATGTTAAAAAGTTGTAACATCCTGTTTAACATTGAAGGTAAAGTCTGTATTGTTGTGATGTTTCTTTCTTGATGTAGGTAAATGGTCTGTGGAAGAAGCTGAGAAAAATGGACTTGTGGGTGACTTAGGTCTGGTTCTAAAGGTAGAATAGATAAGATTAATTATTATCCATTAATTAACAAAAAGTGATTTATATGATGAATCGTTACATTTAAAATAAAATTGTGGAAATTGTTGCTTCTGGGAGTAAGGAATATTTTAGCTTGTATCTATAAAAGTTTGGTAGATATACACAGTTAGATCAGGAATTCTCGGTAAAGATATTATAAGGAAAAGTTTTAATATTCTGCATACATATAACTGAGAGAGTTTTATCTTCTAAAGTTAATTGAGTAACTAATTTTCATTATATTTGTATCTTCTTGTATTTGTTCGTTATTGTAATTTTTTTATTTAAAAAAGTATTTTAGGCATAATGAACTAAAGCAATAAATTTGATAGACAAACAACATCTAACAATTGAATTGAACTCCACCAGTATTGCTAGACACCAATGTAGTTTTGTGCCATTTTAACCAGTAGACTTAACTGGAAAGTGTGTAAGAAGGTAGAAATGACAGTTTTTTAGGCATAAGGAAAGAGAATTGCAAAAAAAGAAATATTAATTAAAAAAGGTAAGCATTCCTGTGAGTAGAGGTAGGGTGTATGTATATATAGTAGTTGACCAGAGAAAATGTAAATATATTGAGGTGGAGTACATTGTAATAAGACAGTTTTGGAGCTTCACATGATTACAGCCCATGTTGCCAGCCACATTTTAGTCATACTTTGTCTGAAAAACCATACTTTTTGACAACATAGCCTTGCAGCATATTTTCTTTTGCAAAAAGGCTGTCATTACAAAAGCACACCACTATTACCTGATGCTTTCAATAATCCTTCTAATGTACGAGGATAACAGTGCCTGTTTGAAATCTGGAAGCATTATTTATTCACGTGGAAAAAGCATGAAAACCTTTTTCCATCTCCACATGCTTGAGATATGTGACTTTTGAACCAGAGGCCTTATTTTTGTGAAATTATACCTTTTTTGGCCTTGTTTCTAGACGAAGATTGTTCTTGATTTTGTTTTATACAATCACCTAGGGCACGTAGGAGGCTTTTGCCTCTGAACTTTGTGTTCATGAATTCACAAGTGTTAAAAGAAGCTGCACTTTGCTGGTAAGTATCTTGATGATGGTCCTGGTGCTCCAAGTTGATCCATAAGTATGTGAGATATCCCCAACTAAAACATATCTTTATGACCTGACTCTGAATATTTTTTTAAAAGCAGTCAGTTTTTTAGTGGCATCATAATACCCAAACAATTTAAAAATGTACTTCCTTTACACCATGACACAGCAAAATTTTGGAAATTTCACATTATGAAAAATTGTAGAAGAAAAACAGATCAAATTATATGAATTTTTTAAAGCATAACTAAATACTATTTCTTATAATTTTACTAAGTTCTATACAATTTTGTTAAATATTTCCTCTGTGAAAAGGCAAAAAACAAATCCAGGAATGTCTGTGCAGGGTCCAGAAAGGGCTTGGCAGAGTGAAGTGTATACTAATAAAACTACACTTGGTTGGGATACAGTACTCTACTGTTAAATACTTGGTATGTTCATACTGAGAAGTTATTAGGTCACCCTGGACAATGGTTGTGAAGTATGTTATGAATAGGAATTAAGTCTCACTACAAGTTTTTAGTATAAAGCCTGTATTATAAGCTTCATAAGTTTACCAACCACCATTTTAATGCTGTTTTTTTAGTGTAAAATTTCCTTCAGCATTACTTTGTGATTTCAATAATTTTGTGTAAATGTAGGCTTCGTATATGAGCTCTAAAAATTGCAGTGTACATTGCTACTTCATTCTAAAAATATACTACAATAAAATAGTTGTTTTCTTTTTGTAATCTTTTATGGTTAAAGGTGTAAAATTCTTTTCTACTCTTGCAGTCTAAAGCTCACCATCATGCTATCTCATCAAGATTGGATAAAGCATTTCTGTTTGATAACAAACCCTTCATTCTGCAGTGAGTTTTGTTTGTTTTTTTACTTATTAAGTGCTGTATGTTGTTATAGTGTCATATGTTATGTCTTGTAGAAGTTATCATTGAAAGTGATTGTTTTAAGAATTTGAAAGTACCTTTCTGTGCTTTTTTATCACTGTTAGTGGGTCTGTCTGATTTCAAAGCATTGGACATTTTTATTCCTTCTATAATGTAAATAAAATAATCTTTTAAAATATTGGATGTAATTAACCTATCATTGTCTTTGAATGTGGAGTTGTAAATACTTTAATGAATTTCATAAATATTTGTTGCATTTTTTGTTTTTTCAGGTATGAAGTTCGGTTTCAGCACGGACAAGAATGTGGTGGTGCCTACCTGAAGTTACTCTCTCACACTAAAGGATTAGATCTGAAGAGGTTCCATGATAAAACTCCATACAGCATTATGTTTGGGCCAGACAAGTGTGGAACTGATGAAAAGGTATTTGTAAAAATCATTCAATGTTTCAGAAACTTGTTTGTTTGTTTGATTACTGTTGATGTGCCAGTGGTGATCAGAGAAGGTTCAACTAAGCATTGCAGAATTTATTACAGTATATTAGTCAAATTCAAAATAAAATAAATATGTAACCAACTGTTTTGCTTTGTTTGCTATCAGGTCTACAAAATTTATTGAATAAATTGTTGTTGTAATTGGTATAATTTAACTCTTACTATGGGCAGATTAAAGAATGCATGTCAGTGTTTTCGTTATTTTCAAAATATTATATAGAATATACAATATGAACCTCCAACCTTTGCAGTGATAAATGATTATCAGCAGACATTTTCAATAGGAACACTAAAGCCGTTAACCACGAAGGTCTAACATATGGTACATGCGAGTTGTGATAAACTATATTTGAAGAAAATATCTTGTAAATCATTGAACTTAGCATTTTGAGTTCAACATTTTTCACGGCATTTAGTTTTAACACTTCAGACATGTGAGGAGTTCAACATTTTTCACAGCATTTAGTTTTAACACTTCAAACATGTGAGGAGTTCAACATTTTTCACAGCATTTAGTTTTAACACTTCAGACGTGTGAGATACTGCTTGTTGTTGGTACCATCAAACACAGGAAGGCGCTATAGAACTTGACACACTAAAACCTTAAAAATTGTTGTTATAAAATATTGTTTATAGTGAAAATTTTCAACAGATTGCTTTGTTTATTCACTAATAAATGTATTTATTTTTGTGACAACAATTTCTGAAATAATGGACACATTTTGTGAATGATGGTAATTTTTTCAAGTTGGTGAATCAAGTGACAAAATTTTCATTGCACACCACAGCATTTGATAATGTACATTTAATGAGAGTTTTAAAAGTTTTACTGAGTTTGACTTTAATTCATGTAACTTTGTTTTTAAGTAGGAAAGACTAAAAATGTATCTCTAAATTTGATTTCTTTCTAAAATAGTCAAATTATAAGTTTATTTTTACACTTTGTATACAGATAAATGGTATTATAAATTTTGTATTTTTGCAATACATTTTAAAGATTATGATAATCATTTATATCTGCAACATAATATGAAAAATAATTATAGTGAAAAACAACAATTAAATTGTTTATTATAAACAGATTTGTGATGTCATTTTTTAGCTTCATTTCATTTTCCGACACAAAAACCCTAAAAATGGCAGCTTTGAAGAAAAGCACTGGAAGAGGACTTCCTCCATTCCAAAGTTTGATGATATTTTCAAAGACAAAAAACCTCATATCTTCACTCTCAGTAAGTAACTTCAAGTTGTAACAAATAGTTTTGAAAATTTGATGTTTTTTTATTTTGGTGCATTCACTATCTGTTTTGAAAAAACAATTTTGAAATATATATACATATGTGTTCCACAGAAATCACTCCTGACAACAGCTTTGAAGTCCTTATAGATAAGAAGAGTATCCAGAAAGGTAGTTTGTTGGAAGATTTCAGGTCAGTGTATAAATTATTCTAACTTTAAAATATATATATATTGGAAACAGGATCCTTAGAAGTTCTGTACAGCAAACTTAAAATTTAGGTATGAGGGGGTTGTTAAAGGTGGTAACACTACAGCTTTAACATTTCCCTAATAATTTTTGTATTTGACTGGAAGTTAGTGCTGGAAAGCTTTAGTTCTATAGGTTTATGTAAATACTAGACCACCGTGACCCGTTGGGTCAACCACTATTCAGGGGTTATGAAGAATTCAAGCTAATTTCGATATTGAACCGAAATGAAATTTTATTTTGAGATAATTTAATTAAATATTTCAACCCATTCCTGTTATTCATAATTCAAGAAAAGATTGTAGATAGGGAGTAAAAGGAAAGACCATTTCATTTTTCAAAAAGTGAAGTAAGAAGTTTCGTAAAGAGCACGAACGGTAGTGTGAATGATATTTTGACTGAGAAAATAAGCAAACAAACAATCTCAGAGTTTTAGTAGTATATAGATAGATTCTTCAAGATCTTGTTTTTGTCATCTTATGCCTTTTAATGAAGATGGGAACATTGACAGGGAAATAATATAATAGCCAATGCTCGGCGAGAGGTTTTTGTTTATAAAATTTTGTTGTTGTTCTCGACTTGATTTTTATTTTATTACCTCGTCTCCATAGTTACTATTTGCAAATAGTCAATGATATTGTAGGTCCATTTTGTTGTTCTTTGTAGATTAAAAAAATATTGAAGTAATTTGATTTGATCAGTTTTCTTATTCACAAGTAATAATTCCAGTTAAAGATATGTTTTTTGTTTTGTTTTACATGTTTAACTACTTTCTAGTATGTTATAGTGTAGCACCAAACATCAACAGTAAAGTGTTCCACAAGTTATTACAGATGCACTAATTATATTTGTATTAACTTAATTTAAGTTCTCAAAGTGATTTCTTCTGATTATTTCATTTGATAGTATTATTATGATTTACCTATTTTGGCTTTGGGGAGTTTGAAGTTTTCATTAAAAGGACAATAAAACAATTAAACATCCAAGAGGTGAAATATTCTCAAGACCCCATACTTACTCTTAACGTTTTGTGTTAAAAATTTAAAGCTTTTTTGAAATGAAGGTTAGTCAAATATATAGCTTGATTTCATACATTTTTTAGCCCTCCCGTTAATCCACCAGCTGAAATAGATGATCCTGAAGACAGTAAGCCAGAGGATTGGGATGAACGTGAAAAGTAAGTACATTACATATACAGAAAGGAAAGAAATGAAAAAATGTAGGGTGTAGAGTCTAGTTGTAGGCTTGAAAATCTAATCTTTGCATTTTGATTCAACTTGTTTTTCTTTAAAGTTTTTTAACCCTATAATTATGGGCACCTCTGTACTGAGCATCTCACGAGAGTTTACTTTGTTACATTCAAAATTTAATTAATCAATCATACTATCAATGTATACCAAGGAAATTAATATTAAAATTTACGTTATAGTTCAAAGTTTTATATTATTTAGGTTTTATTTCCTTTGTTTCAAAATAAACTTTAAAGATAAATATTTAAACTTCACATGCACAAGTTCACAAAATTTTAACTTTTCGTCTGTAACTTAAATAGTTCTTTCTTTACACTATACTTCTATGTATAAACAGAAACTAAGTTAATTGCTCTGTTTATACATTCTTCTTTCAAGCCCCTTGTGGGATGTTGGGAGGAAAAATAAATAAATTTCTTTGAACTCGTGACAGGTTCCATACCCGCTCTCTACATATACAGTTGCAATTTCTCAGCTAACTATACTTGTATGTTTGTAAGCAATAGTAAGACCACATTTTAAAATACTATTTTCCAACAGTTATTTTAAAAATGGCAGGAAGAATTCCATAGAGAACTTCTCTTAGCATTGTTGCTGCTTGTGTCTGAGTTATCGCTTCAGCATTATTTCTCATCAATAAATATGTTAGATAGATAGACAATAAAATTTTATTTAGGTTTTAGTTAATTATGTGTTAGTTTAAAGTGCATGTTAGAAAGGTTTAATAATTTTTGAAAATATAAGCTAAACTGCCTTGATTTATCGGGCTTAGTGTAGTAGGCAAATATCCCAGCGTTCTGACAACGGCTAAAGCATCACTGCCAAGGATGCACCAAGAACGCCCGTTCATGTGTGTCGCAATAAGTAATAATGTTAAAGGATAGGAAAGGAAAATAAAACATTAAAAAATTAACTTTTTGTAAAAAGTAAAAACTTGCAGTTAAGAATATAACAAAAAAATGTTCAAGATTATTTGACAACAAATTAAAAGGTATCTACATTTTTTCTATTTTTAATTTTCAGAGCACAATATATTGATGATGATACTCGAAATATTCAAAGTCTGGGTGCAAATAACTGCAATACAAAAATAACAAATCTTTAATTAAAACAATCTCATTCTTTGTGTACAAAATACTTTTAATTTTTAACAATCTTACCAACTGTTGTGAGGATATATTAAGAAAGAATAGTAAATAAAAGGAGTAATAAATGTACAACAGAGAATAAACATGAACTGGTATGCAATTACAGCAAATAAAATGTAAAGTTTTTCTCAAAGGATGATACTGAAGACAAAGATTGTATCATCACAGATTTAATGACCAGCTTCCATCAGTGTCACAGTGTAATGTAACAAAAGATGAGCAGCAACAAAGCAATCTCATCAGAACAGAATAATGTTTCTTATAAGATACTACAATACAGATTAATGTAATGTAAACAGATGCAGTAACATGCTTACCTTGTTAGGTCTACATGACAGATGTAGGTTCTTCAGCAGCCTGCTGTGCACAAGTGTTTGCTAAAATAAGGGGATAAAAATAATTTATAAAGAATAGACAACAGCAACATACTTAGCAGAAGTCACTAATTATCAACAACATTTACAACCACTACCTTAACATCAACTATTTAGAAATAGAAATAGCTATATGAAATAGTGCTATATGTAGTGGTAATATATATACTGACTACAAACTCACAATTTCATCTAAGTATAAGAAACCCTAGAAAGAGTCACTACCATTGTCTGAGTAGGAAAATCCATTATAGTAATCATCCACTGTTAAAAACCTGCTGAAATATGGTTGCGGAAATCCATATAGAGACAATAAACTTGAATAATGGTGAACAATAGTGACTGAAACAACTACATGCAACAGCAAAATTGGGAACCTTTTCATGTGGCAGTTTGCAATTAATACACGAGTTGCAGTTTCCAACTAACACACGCGCTAGGAAAACACCAGATTTTTTTTTATGCCGAGAAGTGAAGGATTTAGAAAATTTAGCAGCATAACAAGATTAATGAGGATTAAGTTTAAGACTACTCTCTCAGTTTTTTGCAAAGTTCCTGTATGATCCCACACTACATTAGATATCACAGTGGAGTCATAACAGCAATTTGTAGCTTGAGTAACCTGTCAACAGTAGGTATCCAGTCTTGTTTGATTACTTTTTTTATGATCGTAGATCTTAAATTCTCAATTTTTAGTTATGTTGTATGTTGTCATTTTTAATGTACAGTAATGGCCAGATATATGCCTAGAGTAAAACACAATTCCCACAAAATTTGTATAAAATTTTACCAATGGAAAAGCACCCTTTTCAAATAAAACCAATACATCTACAATATTGCTTTAAATAAAGCATCTTCTCTTTTAAAGTAATTATTTACTGAGCCAGGTGCCTTTGTGCCTGAGGTTTTCTGTTAATACGTGTCGAGTACAGAAGCAGCAGCTCAGAACATCATCGAATCTATTACGTATTTATAACTATGTAAATCAACTTTCACTGAAAAATAATAAACTTAACCCAACTTTTTTTTATACTAATGGTAATCATGCACTAAATAATCTTTTATTTAATTAAATAATGCACCAAAGAACACAGAATAATAACATTGAAAAAGCAGACAATTTCCTCTAACTATCACAATTTTTCTGGCTTTCTAACTATGCAACAGAAACTGTTACAAGTTCATCTAAGCTAGTCATTATCTTTCTCGTGGGAACAAAGCTTGTACTAACACTGAAATTGACAATTCTCTGTTCAGTGTGAGTGTGGCAGGAGGGGGTCTGTTTTTCTATTTAATGGCTCTTTAACCAAACAAAATTGAAGGCTGTAAAAATTATGGTTTGTCTGCACAATGATAATTTTATAGTGAGTAATTTACATTTAATTTCATACTTATTGGAGGGGTGGTGAATAAAATATACAAGAGGAGATGTCTAGAGAAAATGTGTCACACTAGGGGAAATTCAGGATTTTTTTAAATATTGTCTTGTATAATTATGAACTTAACTTGTATACTATTAAAATATGGATTATTAGCCAAGATTTTATGCTATACTACTTTATATAACATAAATAAAAATAAGTCACTATAACAATGTGACATGAGCAGTAAATGATGCCCAGGCAGATAGGGTTAAGGTGTTTTTTCCTGAATGTTCTATTAAATTTGAACAAATTCCTGTGCAATCCATGTTATGAATTACTATTGTGGTTCATGATTTAAGATTAAGTTCCTGCTTTAGTTGTATGTCATATTTTGGCTGGTCAGTAATGTGTGTTCCCTGCATAGAGCAATAATAACTGTGCTCATTCACATTTTGTAACATTCTTAAAAATTGACACAACAGACTAGACACAATTTATTAGAATAAAAATGTTGTTTCTCAGGAAGTTGTGCTGTTTTTTTAAAAACGTTAAATTACACAGGACAAACCAAAATACACCAACAATGTTTATATTTTTATAATGAATCTATTTGGTTTACCATGTTTGACAAATATATCTTAAAATTAAAAATAAATAAGACTGTACTGTTTCAAAAGATAAAAAACAAAATTAAAATCATCATACCAATCATCTGGTTTCTTGGCATTTGGATCAGGAATCCTTAAAAAAAAAGGTTTTAATGTTTGAGTCTACAAAATTGTTTTGACTTGATTCATTTAATTAAAAAAAATATATATTCAGTAATAGAGATTATGCTTGTATTTCTGACCTAAAAAACATTATCAGATCATTGTAGCTGTTATAATAACTCTACTTTTCAAATCTGTTGTAGTGTTACAGCATTGAAGACTTTCATTTATTTGGTGTGTTTTTTGTTTATTTTTAGGAATTTGAGATGTCTTTCCATTTTTGTATTTCTTGGATAGTTTTTTACAAATTTTATGTGCATCATGTAACACTTTCAATACAGGCTCAGTCAACTTGACCGACTACATGACATTTTTGTAATCATTTCCAGTCTTTATAGATTTAATACTTATAACTCTCAATATAGTGGGTATATCTTCATGAAATTTGGCAGTCTTTCAGTTAATATTACAATTCTTTCACATACAAAAACTCGTATTTCTTAGTGAAGTATTTTTAATAAAATAAAATAAAAATTTGTCCATGGATATATTGAGTTTGTGTTTTGAACAGTCCGTGTGCAAAGTAATTTTCATGTTAAAATTAAAAATACTTTTCCTCATCTCAAATTTGTTTACGTAATCCCTAAAACCTCCTAAATGCATTTCAAACGTTTTTCTTTTCAGTAAAACTTTATTGTTTATCTGTTATTTTCTCTACCCTATCTCAAAATGGGATCAGTCAAGTTGACCGACCTCGTAACCACCAAAAAAAAAAATCGAAATAAACCTAAATTAACCTTTTCTTTCTTTCTAGAATGACTTCAAATTGTAACAAGAAACTACATTCGTTTATCCTAAGTAGCTTTAAACTTGTAACAGTATACATCTATTTATAATTAGATTTTATTGTTTTATTGCCCTTTGAACCGTGTCTAACTACTATCCGTGACATCATAAGTTGTAAATCACTCTGGGGGGGGGGGGGCGTGCAGCTTACGTTACGCTATTGAATTACATTACCCACGAGTTGCTCGCACGCATGCCTTGTGAACCATTTTTTTTCCTGACTTTCTAACTATGCGACAAAAGCCATTACAAATTCACCCAAGCTAGTCGTTAACTTTCCCATAGGGATGATGTTGCTACTCCGAGTGAAATTGACTATCTGTTCACAACACAACGTTATACAATACGTCATTTGATAGATAAAACCTTGACTTTCTATTGGTTATAGGTAATATATAATGAAACGTAAGAGAGAACTATCACAGAATTGTGACAGGTGGGTGCGGCAGGAGGGGTCTGGTTTTCTATTCGATAGCTCTGTAACCAAACAAAAATTGAAGACTATAAAAATTATGGTTTCTGAGCAATAACGATTTTATGGAGAGTAATTTACATTTAATTTCATACAGTTTAGAGGGGTGATGGATAAAATAGGGATGATGAAATGCTAAGACAATGTATCACGTGGGTCACACTAGTGGAAATTCAGGATTTTTTTTTATTATTCCCTTGTAGAATAAAGAACTTAAAACTTGTATACTGTTAAAATATAGATTATTAGCTACGATTTTATGCTATATTAATTGGTATAATATAAACAAAAAGTAGTTTAATAAAATTTTGAATGTAAGACTCTAAAACCTTGTGTCATGTGCAGTAAAGGATACCTGGGGTAATACGGTTAAATGCGTTTCTTAGTAGCTATACGTTTTTGAAGTCTTGAATTTATTGTGTGAATTTTAGTAATTTGAGATTAGATCAGGCTGATTAGTGGAATGTAACAATTGATTAAATATCAGTCTCATTAATCAGTTCTTCTCACATGAAACTTGAATAGTTGGAATAATCTAAAATACTAATTTTATTTGATTAATTGATTATTTTACATAACTCAAATCAGTGTAATTGATGTTTCGACATCTCTTGTAACTATACCTTTCAGGTCTTATATTTATCTGTTGGTTTTTATTGCTGTAATAACTATACCTTTCAGGTCTTATATTTATCTGTTGGTTTTTACTGTTGTAATAACTATACCTGTCAAGTGTTGTATTTATCTGTTGGTTTTTACTGCTGTAATAACAATACCTGTCAAGTGTTGTATTTATCTGTTGGTTTTTACTGCTGTAATAACTATACCTGTCAAGTCTTGTATTTATTTGGTGGTTTTTACTGCTGTAATAACTATATCTTTCAGGTCCTGTATTTATCTGTTGGTTTTTACTGCTGTAATAACTATACCTATCAAGTTTCATTTTCATCTTTTTTTTTTACTTAAGTACATGAAATTAACTGGATGAAACATTCTATGATATAATCTGGTGTTTCTTTAAACTAAACATTTGAATGCTTAGAAAAAAAGTCCTAGTTGTTATGCCTTCTAAACTGAATATAAAGATTCAGTAAGTTTAGTAATAATCTGTATACTTAGTCAATATTAAATGCTCTAGGGATGAAGATGCTCCCAGGCAGATTCCTGACCCCAGTGCCATAAAGCCTGAAGGTTGGTTAGACGATGAACCCGAATTTATACCAGATCCAGATGCCGAAAAGCCCACGGACTGGTACGTTTTGTTGATTCTGTCATCAGATATTTGTTAACTTGGTGATTGTTTAGTCTTTTAAACGTGATGATGTCATACTTTACTCAGTTGCTCATCTAAAATGGTTATGATTTTGTTCATAAAAATCCTGTTGTTTATTAAAACATTCTGTGACAGTAACTTGTCATCATCAGTCATTTTGCTAAGAATACCTGTTTGTCTTAGGTGTTTAGTTGTTGAATACTAGCATTCATGAAAGACTGTATGGTGATAAACGTTGTCTAATCCATCTTAGTATTTACTTTCAGGTAACAAAGTGCATGATATTTAAGTTTAGAAATTTTATGTAGTATTCTTTCATTTTTTGTCATACACACACACACACACACGTGTGTATGTGTATATATAAACAAACAAACTGGGTTTGACTGATAAGCACCTATTCCTATTAATTTAGCCATAGTTTAATAATTATGTTGAATACAGTACAAGTTGCATTTATTTTGTTGGAACCTTATTGAAATGCAGCAAACTATGCCTTAATTAGTGAAACTTTCACTATGAATAGTTATGTGTATGTAGAAATACAGCATGGAATACCTGTACGTACTGTTATCGTGTACTTAGCAGTATATTGATAGAATAATTTTTTTGTCAAAAATAATTGTCTGAGTGCTTGCTTGTATCCAGTTTTCTAACTTGATTCATGTAGGTCTTCATTGTTGTTAAATATATCCTGTCTAGTTTTGCTGGTGTTAAACTACTCTATATTCCTGATTCTCTCTAGTTTTGCTGGTGTTAAACTACTCTATATTCCTGATTCTCTCTAGTTTTGCTGGTGTTAAACTATATATTCCTGATTCTCTCTAGTTTTGCTGGTGTTAAACTACTCTATATTCCTGATTCTCTCTAGTTTCGCTGATGTTAAACTACTCTATATTCCTGATTCTCTCTAGTTTTGCTGGTGTTAAACTACTCTATATCCCT